CTTTGTTTGATCTGTAAACACACACCAAATTGCAGAGCCGTCGATTGTATGAGCGGTGGAAGCTGTGGAATCCGTCGAATGATCGTGTGACTCATGACCCATTTTCTCTCCGTCCTTTCTTCTCGATTATCTTTGCATGCAGGCATTCGCCGAGCACATTACAGCTCCTCTGCTGCACTCTCTGCCTCTGTTGGCAAGGTGACCCAAGTGATTGGTGCCGTTGTGGACGTACAGTTTGATGAAAAGCTTCCGCAGATTTTGAACGCTTTAGAGGTTGAGGTTGCCAAGGGCAATGAGCGTTTGGTGTTGGAGGTGGCGCAGGTACGTGTGTCTTGTCTTCGTCTAGAGTTATACTGTATATCTAAAGTTTTCCTGTTGGAAGGAAATAGGATGGTCCGATGTTTCCGGTGCCGAGACTTCGGCTCGAATTCCAACAGTGTTGCAATTCAGGTGCGCATGACTTACACTCACACCGTGCATTCGTTCTACAAATCTATTTATTCATTCTAAAGCACCTCGGCGAAAACACTGTTCGCACTATTGCCATGGAAAGCACGGACGGTTTGGTCCGCGGCCAAAAGTGCACTGACACAGGTGCTCCCATTCAAGTGCCCGTCGGACCAGAGACGCTCGGCCGCATCATCAATGTTATTGGAGAGCCTGTCGATGAAAAAGGACCCATTTTCACCGAAAAGAGTCAAGAGAAGTACGCACCGCTCCATCGCGCGGCTCCTACCTTTTTGGAACAAGGACGAACCCAAGACATTTTGGCCACTGGTATCAAAGTTGTTGATCTTCTTGCCCCGTACGCCAAGGGAGGAAAGATTGGGCTGTTTGGAGGAGCTGGTGTCGGCAAGACAGTTGTTATCATGGAACTGATTAACAATATCGCCATGAACCATGGAGGATACTCTGTCTTTGCCGGTGTCGGTGAGCGCACCCGTGAAGGAAATGATTTGTATCATGAGATGATTGAAGGAGGTGTCATAAAGATTGACGAAAAGACTGGTTCTACTCACGGTTCCAAGGCTGCCCTCGTGTATGGGCAGATGAACGAGCCACCTGGTGCCCGCGCTCGTGTGGCATTGACAGGTTTGGCCATTGCTGAATATTTCCGTGACGAGGAAGGTCAGGATGTACTGCTTTTCGTCGACAATATCTTTCGCTTCACCCAAGCTGGTTCGGAGGTGTCTGCCCTTTTGGGACGAATTCCGTCCGCTGTCGGGTACCAGCCGACCTTGGCGACGGACATGGGTGGTTTGCAGGAGCGTATTACTTCGACTGGGAAAGGTTCCATTACCTCGGTGCAAGCTGTTTACGTGCCCGCTGACGACTTGACCGATCCGGCGCCCGCCACTACATTTGCTCACTTGGATGCTACTACTGTCTTGTCTCGCTCCATCGCTGAGCTTGGAATTTACCCTGCTGTCGATCCCCTCGACTCAACTTCTCGGATGCTTGATCCCCGTATCATTGGACAGCGACACTACGAAGTTGCGCGTTCGACGCAAAAACTTCTTCAAGATTACAAGGGTTTGCAAGACATTATCGCCATTTTGGGTATGGATGAGTTGAGCGAGGATGACAAGCTCACGGTTGCTCGCGCCCGTAAGGTCCAAAAGTTCATGTCGCAGCCGTTCCATGTTGCTGAAGTTTTTACAGGCAAAGCTGGCAAGTTTGTTTCGCTCGAAGATACCATTGAAGGCTTTGCGCAAATCATTAGTGGCGAGTATGATGACCTTCCAGAGGGTGCTTTCTACATGGTGGGCAACATCGAAGACGTTCAGGCCAAGGCTGCCACGATGGTAATGTGAGAGGTGTAAAATTAACTATCGTGGTAAGATTGTTGGTTATCTGATTATATCCTAATGGTTATTGGTAAAAAGACTGTAGCACTCTACAGATGATACGGTACAGTATGTGCTGAGTTGGATGCTTCCGGTTGACCAAGGAAAGACAGTTAGTTGAAGTCGCAGCGAAACTGAAAATGACAGCATGACCTTGACGCCAATCGTCGACAAGAGGATGATGCCCTCCACGCCAACTTCAATTTCTCGAACACCATCTTACTGGACTTTACAAGTAGCAGTGTGCTATCAATAGCTTGCTGAGAAAAGCAAGTGAGGCATCGACCACAAACAACCACACGTTTGCGAGCTTTGGTGCATCTGTTCTGACAGCAGTTGCATCGCACAGCACAGCGACCTTTCGACCGCAAATGAGAGGCCATGGCAGCAACCGCGACGACGATGACAATTGCAAGGAGCTGCTAAAGCTATGCGAAATGTTTTTTAAGGTGTCGGATGAACATCTGACAGAGATATCCAGACTCATGAAGTATAAGGTCTTTGGGCGAAACCAAGTCATGCTGACGCAAGGTGCACCGTCCGATCGATTCTTCCTCTTGGACACTGGTGAGATCCGAAGGCTCTATGAGTCAGGTGACGGCAAGGTTCATAACGTTGAATATGCGATCAAGGCGAAGAGTATCGGAAGTATGAAGGTTCTTTCAATGGATCCTGTATTTGCTACCGTTAAGTGCATATCTGACGAATGCCGCGTCTTCGAAATGCTACGATCGGACCTGCTAGAACTGATGAAGAGGGAACCAGAAATTGCCACGGAGATTGCTATGGGATTGTGTGAAACTGTTCGAACAGGTACACGAAAATATCAGACGCCGCTGCTGGAGCAGCAACAGCAAGAGATTAATATTCCTTTTGTGGCGATTGCCGCGGGTATCGAATCCTATTATCGGTCGGCATTGAATGCCATGCTGAATGCATCGCTAACGGGTGTGAAGGCTGATTTGTTCCCCAACATGCACATACAAGTTCCGACACGAATGTAAGTGCGCTCGTTGATGTTGAACGTAGCAAGCGTTTAATCTCTCAACTCAAAAACTTACCATGCGCGTTGCTGTTTACGTCTGTCAGTGCCTACATTACTGGCTTTAAAGGCTTGCGCACAATGTTTGAGCGATCAGTAGACCCCGACCAATACAACTATCCGAACATTGTTAGAATGGCTACAGCTATAGCACCAGGTATCGCCATGACACCCATTTCCAGCATTTTGGAGGCATCCAACGCCGGCCATTTGAATCCAGAACCAATGACATCGAGATGGATAAGGGGTCTTCTGCCTAGAGCAAGTCGAGAAATTATCTTTGGCATTGGTTTGAATCAAATGAGCGACTACTTTGAGGAGCGAATGCAGCCCTTCTTTTTGGGTCATCCCATGCTTGCAAATGCTTCTGGTAGCTTGGCAGCCGGCATTGTTTCTGGGTATCTATCCCATGTTCCTCACAACCTGTCAACGTTTAAGCTAATGCAGCCACAAAGCTCGTACTCTTCTCTTTTTAGAATGTTCGTAAGCAAGAGCGTGCCACCCGTCGTTGACACTATGACGCAGTCTTGGCCATTGTCTGCTCGGATGATAACCAGGACTGCGTTTGCGACTTTGTTTCCAAAAGGCGTTGTGATTCGCACGGCGCAAATTGTCGGTAGTTTCATGATATTGAACGGCACTATCAACTACCTTCAAATGCGTGAGCACCTGAGAGTTGAAAAAGCCATGGGCCTAAAATAAGGGATGGCGGATGGCGGCGTCTCCTCGCTTCCCCTCAGTCATGGCACTGTCGTATAGACCTACGTTACTGTTTTAAAAGTTACGACCAGCCTAATTCTCTCTTGCTTTCGTGTCATAGTTGATTATTATAAACAGAAACCTCGCAAGTTTAAAGAGGCTGATGATCCTGTTTTGAAATACCTTTTTAATAGACTTTCTTTATATATTTGTAAGGCAACGCAAAGTTGATCACGACGCTTGTAATGGTCATTTGCTTTACTCGCCCTTGTCCTCGGCCGGTGCCTCCTCTTCGCCTTCGGCCTGGTCGCTGGTCCACAGAGTAAGGTTGTCGCGCAAGAGCTGCATGATCAGCGTCGAGTCCTTGTATGATTCCTCGTTAAGCGTGTCAAGTTCAGCAATGGCATCATCGAACGCTTGCTTGGCAATTTGGCAGGCCTTATCCGGGGAGTTAAGAATTTCATAGTAAAAGACCGAGAAGTTGAGGGCAAGTCCCAAGCGGATCGGGTGGGTAGGTGGTAGGTCCGACGACGCGATTCCGCTGGCGGCTTGGTAGGCATCCAGGGCAGCTCCGGCGCTCTCCTTGCGTACATCTCCGCTCTGAAACTCGGAAAGGTAACGGTGGTAGTCACCCTTCATCTTGTAGTAAAAGACCTTGGCTTCCTCCGACGTGCTATTCGGGATGAGGGAGTCAACGATGATGGAGAGAATGTCGTTGCAGATGTCGACAAGTTCACTCTCAATCTTGGCCTTGTAGTCCTTGATAATGGTCATTTTGTCAGGGTCTCCCTTTTGCTCGATACTGGTAACAACGCGCCAAGAGGCACGGCGAGAACCAATCACGTTCTTGTAGGCAACGCTCAAAAGATTGCGCTCCTCAACCGTGAGCTCCTGCGGCTGGCGAGCAACCTCCTTCATGTCGGAGACCATCTCATCGAAGCGCTCAGCCTGCTCGGCGAGCTTGGCTTTGTAAACAAGTGAATCACGATCCATGGTAGTGCTGCAAAGAGTGTTGGAAGGGAGTAGGCTTCGGATCGATGTTGCTGCTGCTTCAAATTATGAGGCTGAGAAGGGCCGTGCGTCAAGAAGAATCGACGGGTCCGTAGATCCTCGTAGGAGTCGTACAAGCGAGCGCCAGCGAGTCATTTCGCGGCGGCGAGTAAAAAAGACTCCTTTCGTCGCTCCGTCGCTCGCCCGCTATACATACCGGTACATAGTAACTCCGGCATTTTGCGACCGCACGTTGCCCTGCTGTTACCGAGATGTTATGTTTAGCGAGGTCAGTTTCGTACAGTTAAAGTATACTCACCTCAAGGCAAACCAAAGGGCAGAGAGTATAAACTTAAATCGACTTGCACCTAGTATATCTGAAATCATAATGATGTTTAACTAACGATAGTTTGCCAGCAAAATGGAAAGCAGCGGAATCGAACCGCTGACCTCGTGCATGCTAAGCACGCGCTCTACCAACTGAGCTAGCCTCCCTGTATCACACTGTGACACGTCTAGCTTGCATATTTGAACGGATTTTTGGATTCAAAAGGTAAGAGTTATCGTGACCAGAGGTTTGAATGTCTATAATATGGAGGTGAGCTATGATTGGGCTTTAAGCACTGTATGAGGAGCATCTGATATCTATATGGGCTTGAATCAACTGGGATGGCACACTGTTGGCTTGTGGCTGGGGTTGCTGCTGGGCTGAGTTGGACAAAACAGGTGTGCACAAAGCTACAGTATCCAGCTGTCCTCCACTTGAAGCATGGGCGCAGTCACCGCACATCCATTCCCCACATCTTGATTGCACACAAAGGGTTGAATGACTGGGGGCTTGACTGTTGATGCAGCAGTTGGCGCAGCGGCAGCACTCTAGAACTCGCAGCATTTGCCTTGCAACGGCTTTCAGTGTGCATCATTCAATTTGCTTTTTTGATACCATTTTATAACTCTACTTCCCATCTGAGAGCCATGGATGGGATCGCAATGACAACTGCTCAAATGGCAAGGCATCACCTGGTAGCGCAAGAAATTGGCGCCTCCACTTTCAGTGTTGCTGCTGCTGCTGCCCCCAAGATTTGTTTAGACCAGCATAATATCAAGGCCTTCTCAATTTTGCTCGCTCAAACATTGCCACCTTCACCCTTTGCAGAATGGTTGACAAGCTTTCTTTAGACTGTTTATGCATTGACATCATCACTGTGCATGTTACAATATGATCACATTCACTCAAGCAAGTTGCATTCACTAGAGCGCTCCCATTAATGGATGGTATTGGCGCAGAAGCACATAAAAGTTGTTGTTCCCTTTCAAAGCATGTATCCTACCACCTCGCTGCTCCACAACTGTGTTAGCTGTCATGCTACACTACAATCAAGCTCATGCTAAATTTGCCATGAGTTGAAATTAATGCCGCAGGAACACAATTGCAACTTTATCTTTGCTATAATTGTTATTTGGCGCATTTATGATTTATTAGGTATAGAGTTGTGCACAAAACTAAAGTAATACATAAATAAGACGCTTATATGCATGCGAGGCTGCTGCCGTCTACTGCAGTCATTCCCCATTGATGTAGTTGCCCTTGAAACCATCAACAGTTTGCTTCCAACGTGCACTCATTTTGCTTATGTAGTCATCAATATCAAACTGTTGTGGTGTTTGATTGAATTTTTTGATCGTTTCATGGTCTTGAATGTAACTTTTTAGCATGGATAATACAATTTGTTGCCCTTCATTGTCCGCAATGCCTCGATTCAAAATGTCCCCGCGGACAAAAGAGATATTTTTTATATCAGCGAAGTCGTTAAACACACTAAAGGTCAATAAAGGCGTGGCGCTGTGTGGATCCATCTTATAATCTTCAAGATACGCCATACAGAAATGGGATGGATCCATGTACTGCGAGACAAGCATGAAGAAACCTGAGAAGGAGTGGGTAATATTGAGTTTTGTGGGTCAAAAGATTGTACTCCGTATCTCTACTGTCACATCCGAACAACTCACCATCGTCTCGAAATACTGGTTGGATAAAAAAGGGACTGCCGATCAAGGATATACGAAAGTGCAAGGGTGAGAGCGAAGCAACAAAACGGAACGAAACGCTTCCCTCATTCATCTTCTTCCTCTCATCGCTTCACACTGACATGACGTCAATTACCATTTTCGTGCTCGTTCAATGACCATTTTTCCGTCTTGGCCATGAGACACCAAGCCTAAAACTCCATGTTTGTCGTCGTGAAACGCGTACCAGAGATCCGCAAGGTCCGTGGTAGATTTGTCAGCTACCTTTTCAAGTTTGAGAACATCGTCAAGGCTTTTAGGTCCCACAAACGAAAACCCGCTCAATGACCGCTTCGATACCAAATGAGTTAGTCTACTAAGCGTCTTTATTGTCGTCATGGTTGTACTTTGCGCCTGCAAGCTTTGCAAGGAACCGCGACGACATCCGCCACGTTTTCGAGAACCGGTGCGAGGTAGACAACCAAAAAGTAGCTTGCGATGGCGTACCGGTATTGGTTGCAGATGACACGACTCGTTGACGATTGACGACCATGGCATTTGGCTTTGCTACGAATCGACTTCTCAATGGATGAATAACTGATGCATGTTATGATTCGGTTGTTCAATTGCACAGTCGCACCTTTACTTATCTTGTTCATATCTATGCGTACATTGTGCTGGTCAATCTCGACGAACGTCTTTCGACAAGGCAGCTCACGGCGATCTCAGTTGCTTCAAAATCGGTGGCTTCATGCTAACGATCAGTATTCCTCGTCAACACACAATGATATTCGTTTGATTATCCCTACAATCCAAGATATGCAGCAAGTAGGTGCTGTCTTGTATTCTGTTTGTTCTTCTTTCGATGCTGTTCCATTCGTTCCGTCGGCTATTTGCGTAGACGGTGATTTAGCGGCTGGCAAGACTGCTTTTTGCCAAGGCTTTATTCGAGCAGCGATTGGCGACTGGGAACGACCTATCACATCTCCGACATATTTACTAAGTAATTCATATACAACAGAATTGGACGATCGAAAAAATGAGGAAACAATTGAGTAAGTATGAAACTCTGGATTGAGAGGGTGTTTGAAAGGTGTGTGCTATTCAAGCTTAATATTGGCGCTTAAGCTGCTTTGATTTCGTTGTTCTACTTCAGAATTCGACACATGGACCTGTATCGTCTCTCCGGACATAGTAAGGACTTGATGGTGCTCGATCTGCCACACGTCTTCGCTAAGTGCATATCATTGATTGAATGGCCCGGGCGCCTGGGTGATGAGATGCCCAAAGAGAGATTGGATGTTAGAATAACAATTTTTGAGTCATCAATTTCGAGCGGAAGTGACAATGAGCTTGTCGATCTAGACAATTTTCCGAGAAATGTGCTACTTCGTCCTTTTGGCAACGCGTGGGACAAACGCATCCAGCATGTATTGGATGAAGGTTACCTTGACGATTTGCTCATGGAATTTCTGTAAAACTAAATGTTTAAGTACGCAAATCAACCATTATTTTAAGATACTGTGTCGTCGTCTTTTTTTCTCCGTTGCTTGCCACGCTGACGCTCGGTCGAACGGCGTGCACCGGCAGTCCGAGGTCCTTGGTCGCTCCTGGTAGATGGAGGAGACGGAAAAAGACTTGGCTCCTTTTGCGTTACAGTTCCGGACGATTGTAGGGTTGTGACTGGAATCAAATCGGCGGACTGTAGTTGTGGTTTTGGTGTCAATTTCTTCGGAATTGCCTGTAGGGGTGGAGTTTAGCGTAAGAAAAAACGGATGAATGAATCAATACTATTGCTTTTGTTCGCCAGGCATACATGATTTCGACTTACCCGTTTCGCGAGGCCCTTCTCGACAGCTTGAGATGCCGCTTCGGCAAGAAATCTGACAATGACATCTTCGCCATTCAGGGGTCGGCTGCTGATAGCTCCGAAACCTTTACTTGCATCCCCTGACCCTCGAATAGCAGTCAGATAAGTATCATTCACTTCGATTATCAATGTTCCGACAGTGGCCGACTGGAAATCCACCAATTGCTGCCAGACAATCTCTACCTTGTTCTCGTCGACACGACGCACATTTACAGGTCGTTCACCTGAACGAATTGTTGCAATATCATACGTTCGAAGCACTGCCGGCGCCCACTTCGTTGCAAGCCAATCGGCTAGTCGACTAACGTTTGGAACGGAAGCAAACTCGGCGGTAAATAATCGTGCACCTTGCCCAGAAGACAGCACTTGCTGTGCGCGCATAAACTCCTCCTTCCACTGACCAATACTTACATACTCCATTCCCCGTTGCGACGATATGCAAACATCCATGTCGCTCTCGACAGGAACTCGCAAAAGCGCCATAAGGACGGCCGCTTCGCCAACGGCAATGCGGGAAGACCTCGTCGTACTACCAAGCATGACATTTCCATAAATGGACAAGCTTGGGTCGACGCGAACTGCCCTCATGGTATATTCCTCGCATAATTCTGCATCCTTTTTAGGTCCTCCAACAAGCGGACTAAAGTCGGGTGAGCTTTCAGGAAGCCCAAAAAGAGCCCCGTGTCGAAGGCGATACAGAGTTGACTGAAGATTCGTGTTCAAGGCTTCCGTCAACGTGGTAGGGATGTTAGGCTTACCGCCATTTAAAATTCCAGTCATTACACCTGATATTCTACCATTAGGCTGAACTGCAGGCGACTCACCGCCGGCTTCTTCGTCGAAAGCGGATAATATAGCAACCTTGCTCCCAGATGGCGCGACGGCCTGGGCCGCTTCGCGTGCAGCCACTTTGATCGCATCATCCCATGTTTGTTGCTTTTGTATCTCACGCTCCTTGTTTGACGTTTGAGGGGAGACCTTAAGGCCTGTATCGTACGTGCAAATCAAAGCATCAACACTTCCAGTCCACTGCGACAAGGCCGAGATGGTTGACTCAGGATTGTCGACTGGAAGCAAAAGCTTGTCTGCGTCAGACCCAGCAAGTTCCAGCGTCCCGCCACCCACCTGAAAGTTTCTCATAGCCTGTGGAGACAATTGTAATGATGTCCCTCCTTGTTGCTGCATGCTTGCGTCCTCTGTGGTGGGTGATGAGACGACAAACCAGCGCACCTTGCATCCCATGGAGGCAGACTTTACAGCAGCAACCTCACCAATACCTCCAGGTGGAGAAACCACGATGACTGTCGGAGGACTGGATGATGCAAAGAGGGCCGTAACGCGGGATTCATATTGTTGATGCTGGCTTGCTTTTAGTCTCGTATTGCTAATGCAAGGCGGCGCAAAGGCTGTGACCAGTTGTGCTGTTGCTATTAAGGCGAATGCAATCAGGCAGATCGGCATGAGTGTCATTGCGGTTGGATGCGATACCGGATGCGATACCTGGCACTATCGCTCGAAACAATCTGAATTGCGCTTTAATTCTGGCTGTGGGCTGAGCACCATGAATCGACGAGTGAGCAACCTCATGGTGGAACGCAAGTCGCGATACTCGAGGTTC